AAGGATATATTTAATTTATTTTCTCTTTTTTTCTTGGATATGTTGAGCTTGAGCTTAAGATCATTTCATTTATTTTCTAATTTCAGTTTTATGTTAATTTTTATTATAAATTATTTATTTTATTGCAAAGTTACAAAACTAAATCTAAATTGAAACTTTTTTGTTTAATTTGTATTTATTATAAAATTTTCATATTGTAATATTTTTTTGCATTTTAATTTTATTATTCTATTTAAATAAATGAAAAAAAATGAAAATGAAAAAAATAAGAATCAGATGGTGAGTTCATGAACAACTAAATTAATATGTTTGAGCCCGAACTTTTCTCGAGCCGGCTCATAGGTGTGATCTAATTACGGTTGATATTTAATGAATAAAAATTAAAGTTACTCCTAAACTATTGTCGAATTACACAAATGAAAAACCTCAAATATTCATAATTACCAAACCCAACTGAAAAATTTAACGTCTATAACGCCCTTAAATTAAATAAAAGTAAAAGAAAATATAAATTACCAAAATCACCCTGAAATATGTTGGAATTACTAAAAAACCTCTTCAAATATCCATAATTGAAATAACTTGCTAGACAACTTGTGAATCCATGAACAATTGAAAATGACTCAAGCTCGTGCTATTGTCAAGCCAATTCATTAGGCTTATGAATTGGTCGACTCATTTGAATACTTATACATTACATTTATTGTGTCATTGCTCAAGTTCGAGCTATTGTCGAGCCAGTTCATTAGACTTGTGAACTGCTCGACTCATAAGAATACTTATAAATTACATTTATTGTATAATTGCTCAAGCTCGAGCGATTGTCAAGCCAATTCATTAGACTTGTGAATTATATTGCTCGACTCATTTCAATATGTGTACATTACATATATTGTATAATTGCTCAAGTTCGAGCTGTTGTCAAGCCAATTCATTAAATTTATGAACCGCTCGACTCATTTGAATACGTCTACAATTACATTTATTGTATAATATAACCAGATCAAACCTATGACGTTAAAATCGTAATTTACTCTACCAAAATATAATATCTATTAAATATATATCCAAAATAAATAGGAATATATTATTTAGATCCAAAGTTAGATGACGTGGCGGCACTACATAAAGATAGAGTTGGAAAAGTGGGAAATGCTGTGAAATGTTAGCAGTATTTAACTATTTGTTAATTAATTGTTCCACGTGAATAATAGGTAGAGCTGTCAAATTTCAACTTTCTTGTCAATTTATTTATTTATTTTTAAGTCCTAGTAGAAGATGAGAGATTACATATGGGCCCCTTGGTATATTTATTTTCCCCACTTGAAGTGGACTTTATTTTGGATTCTTCTACTTCAAATAAATTATTGGATTTTTTTTTTTTGTTTTTTGGAAGGAAAAATTGTTGGATTTATTATCTCCATTAATTAATATTGTTTTATGCTTGGCTTCTTTTAGATCAACTAAATTGTTGCAAAATGACAGAATTGCCCTTTTGTTACTATATATTTTTTTTTGAATTTTTCCTTTTAATTGTTTTCTTAAATTTTTAGTACCTTTAATTTTTTTAATTTTATTAAAAAATGTTTTTTATTTCCTTAATTTTTATTATTACTTCTGTTTTTTTATATATAGATTTTTTTTTGTGCTTTGATTATTTTTATTTTATTTTATTTATGGTATAGGCCATGGAGAGAGAGGGAGAGGGTTGGATAATAAGGGCAATTTTGTAATTAGCAAATTTCTATCATAGCTTAATTATTTAATTGGATTTCCCAAAAAAATTGTAATCAGCAAATTTCTATCATAGCTTATCTCTATATAAATTCATATTGGCACATGATAAATAAAAAAACCAGTTAGACCCAGAAAATAATAGTGCTAGGCAAATATCAAATTAAATCAAATTATTTAATTAATCGTCCCAACTAAATGATGTCTTAATGTATATATAATTAAGATTTTTTTTTTTATTTTAGACATTTGTTTTCATTATGAGATATAGTTAGACTTTAACAAAACCTTATATTACTTCTTATAATTATGTGTCTTCATTAGAAAAGGATATACAATTCAATTTTCCATGACACTTAATTAATATTTTAATTTTCCAATATAAGAGCAAATAAGAATATGCGAACGCATCGTCTAACAACCCAAATTTTATATATAGCACAACAAAATATTTTATAAATCAACTTCTTCACATAATATATAATTTTGTTAATGAGGTTGAATATTAATTTTCAGTGGGATTTACGAGTTGAACGAAAAACATAATTTACCTCGTTCACATTAGTTGTTGCGAGTTCCGTTGTAAAAAGAAAAAAAATAGTGACAAAATGTTTAGCACCAATACGATATAATTAGCTAAAACAAAAATAAAAATATTATTTTACCGTCATAAAAGAATTGATAATTGAAATTGGCGGGAATTTATTTAAACGAATCTTCTTCCCAATTGGTTATTAATTATGGATTAATAAAAGAATATTATTTTCAATATCAAACGCGTAATATTTACTTAATTATTATGGTCTTGTTCCCAACATGCAAGCAACATACTATTAAGATCCAAGAACCGGTGGACTAATATAGTAATATTTATTTATTTGTAAGGACTTACTTTCCAATTAGTCATAAATTAGTACCTTAGTGCAAATAAACTAGGGGCTTTAAGATATAGGTCCCTGGTGACAAAACTTATTAGAACTAAATGACAAGTCTAACTAAACATTTGCTTCACATCCTTTATAAATTTCATTCCAAAAATGCCCCCACATACAAAAAATGAAATATGTACCAAGTAATATTTAAACTGTATTTATCATTTTTTTCATTCTGCATTTAACATTTTTGTTTTTGCATCTAGCATTTTTGTTATTTTTTTTTTTCGTAGAACAACTTTTTTCTTTTTGCATTTTCGTATTTTTTTCCTTTTTTTTTCTACATAATATTGAAAATTATGATTTTTTAATTTTTTTCGGCCATAGTAATCTATAAAATCCATAGGAAACCGTAGTAGTCCGTAGTCATGTATAGAGACTCACAGAAAACTGTAGTAATCTGTAGTAACCTATTCTTAAAAACCCTAATTCCTCCTTTGAAACCTAGCCGCCAGAAACCATAGATACCCATAGATACTCATAGACATCTATAGACATAAAATCGAAAAATCTTAGATCCGCCCCACCAAACCCTAGATCTGCCACGCCACCATCACCGCGCCGCTAAAAATACCACAAACCCCACCCTACCATTTCTGTCAGCCAAACATTACTTATAAAAATAATCCAAATCAACCCAAAAACAAGTAACTAACACTATAATGCAAAAGGAACGACTACTAGCTGGATAAAACAGGAAAAAAAAAAAGAAAAAAAAAAGAAGAAAAAAAAGGCCATAAGTAGCAGTCTTGAAGAACGATCCCCTCTCCCAAACCCTACATACATCAATTTCATACCGAAAAGCACCATTGCCGTCGGAGGAAATCACCCATCAATCATAAGCACCGCCGCCCCTCAACTACCAGAACTACCGCCGCCGCCGCCAGCAACCAGAACCACCGCCGCTGCCGCCAACAACCAGAAACACCGCCGCCCACATCAAGATCTTCATAGCCATCCCACCATAATTGAGAGAAAGAGAAAAGAGAGAGATTAAGAGAGAGCAGGCAAGAGAGCGAGAGAAAATAACCGAGAGAAAGAGAGAGAATTGAAAAAGAGAAACATATCTGATTTAGAGAACGTGAATAGAGGTTATATTTAGGGTATAAGGGTAAATTAGGGATAAAAAAAAAATTTAGCATGTGGGTCATATTAAATTTTAAAATAAGGGTGTATTTAAAAAAATTAGTTTGAGGTTGTTATTTAGTTCTAATTAAATTTGGTAGGAGGGACCTAAGCATATTAACCCCAATAAACTAACCCAGTTCACTAGGTAATAAATAAATCATCTACGGGCTATCAAAATGTTAGGGGTGTGAACGAGTCGATCTCGGTTGATTTGCAGGCTCGAGTTTATTGAGTATTTTTTTTTACTCAAGCTCGAGCTCGAGCTCAAACTGATTTTAGGTTTTTTTTTTCAAATTATTTGTCATTTTAGAGTTCGAATAACACATTAATTGCATTTTTATCAATTTAGTCTCTTATCACTCTTAATTAGTTAATTAAAAAATAAATAATAACAAGGGTATTTTAGTATTTACTAATTTTTTGTGTATAATCTATGCATATTTATTACGTATCTTAATATACGTGCACCCACCCAAAACGACATATAATATGGGACGGAGGGAGTATTTATTACAATTGGCATATTTTTTTAGTAAAAAGTAAAATAAATCTCGAACACAAAATATCATGGGTAAAAACTAAAATACAGTTAAACCTCTATAAATTAATACAGTCGGAACTAGGGAGATTTCTATTAATTTAGCGAATTATTAAATTATCGAGTTAATAATTTAACATGTTTTCACCGAGTCGGGACCGAGAGAAACTATAATTTAATCAAAATTATTAATTTATCGAGTATTATTATATTGAGGTTCTACTGTACACCTTCACTTCACTTTTTTCTTCCTTACATCACTAAATTTCATCCATAATTGTATCAGATGGGTTAACGATGTGAACATTGAATATTGATCTAACTAGTCACTTGACCCGTGCGATGCACGGGAGAACAAACATAACAATCATTAAAAAAAAAACAGAAATAAAAATGTATTGAATATTTAACTGAAAAATCTAATAAAAACTATATATTGAATATTTTACTGGAAAATCTAATAAAACTCTATCCACCGAAGAATTAATCCGGCCACCAACAGAGTAGTTGTTTTCAACTCTTGAGCATATGTCACCTGCACCGTAGGACAAAATGAAAGAAAAAAGAACTTTTTTATAAATTGAAAATAAATGTTACAAAGCTCATTTATAAAATTTTAAAGACAAAAAATCCATATATAAATTTAACCAAATATAGAAATAACTTACTTAGTTCAGATTTTGGAAAACTTCTTTATATACGACATTTGTAGTAGTATTTGAGGTGTTCCCCTCGTTGTTACAAATAAGTATCTTCAAGCCTCTTCGACTCGTAACTCTTGAGATAGCAACATATAATTGTCCATGTGAAAACACTGGTTTCTGAAGATATATACCCACGTGTTGAAGAGATTGGCCTTGACTTTTATTTACCGTCATTGCAAACGAAAGAGTGATAGGAAATTGTCGACGCTTGAATTTAAAAGGAATCATGTTATCGGATGGCGTTAGAGTCAATCGTGGAATAAACACCTTATGAACAATGTTGGTTCCTGATATAATTTTCGCTTCCAAGACTCGATTTCCTAATCTTGTGATTGACAGTCGGGTGCCATTGCACCAACCTGAAGATTGGTCTATATTTCTCAAAAACATGGCCGGAACACCTTCTTTTAGTTTTAATTCGTGATTTGGAAGACCAGAAGAATTAACGGTATTCAAAAACTCGGGCGTATGAATATCATCAGGTCTGTCAATGCTTCTGTTTGCTGAACATGTACTATCAAAACTGAGATATGTCTTCATTTCCTTAGGAACCAAAGATAGCATGTAATCGTTTACCACGTCAACAATCTCATTTGTCGGAGCCAGTATGGCCCTGTGTTGCAAATAACTGATATCATCCATATTCTCTAAAAATGATGGGTATGTCTCATTTACAATTGAAGCAAGTGGATCAGCTGACTCTTTTATGAGTAAATCATCAGGGATTTCAATGCTGACCACCCCTTCATTGGGATCACCTATGGTGCCATCCCCAATACTTAATATTTCGGGAACTAATTTCTATTTGGAATAGAATTTCCTTATCAATCAAAGCATTAATTTCTACAGGACATCCGTAATTATGGTTTCCTTACAAAAAAATAAAATGGTTATTAGCATAATGTGGATTTAAATGTACATAACTTATTACATCAACAATACCTTGTTTGATGCACCACCTAGGAGTTCTGAAGCACTTTTTCCAATTAATTGCATGACAATACGATCAAACATTACGAATGAAGTCGATCCAGTACTATCAATGGCGCTCACTTGAACTCTGAACCAGTACAAAAATATATATTTTAAATATCAAGAGGAATGATGGTTTTCGTAAAATATTACCAAATCAAAGTATAATTACCTTGGTACAGCAGGAACAAACCCGTCACACTCTTCGCACCAATATTTATTTGAGACAGGTTCGACCTTCCTCACACAATTTTTACATGAAGCATACCACCAATTAGCTGTCGACTCGATTTCCAGAATTTTCGCCAGTACAGATCCAACACATACCTACAATATATATACAACAATCGATTCTTAAGCATTATATTTGTTTAATTAAAAATATATCAGATATATGGTCGACAAATCAACGTAGCTTTGTACTCTTAACGCACTCATCTATGGTCATTCTATCTGCCTGGAGTGGATCGTACTATCGAGGCAAAGAAAGTTGGGACGATAATTGACTAACTGATGAGACATAGACTTCTTCGCTCAATGCAAGCCTGTAAAATTTACAGGTATTAAAATATATAACGAATGATTATACTCAAGGTTATATATATATATTAAAAGTTGAATGATCAAATGTTAGTACATATACATGTAGTCTAAAACTTCTTTCAAATTCGGTTCGATCAGTAGTTGTGATCCATGTCGAACATTTGACAAACTCGTGCTTCCTAAGTATGATTTTAGGTGAAATAATATACAAAAATATGCATCAATATTTTAACAAATTCCTAAATATGCATCAATATTAGGGTATGTAAATATTAACACGCACCACAATAAGTTTTAGCCCTGAAACACTGAAGTATGACCACAGTAGGTTCATTTTGGTCAGCATTCGTTACATATGCATCAATTTGTTCAGCAAATGCTTCCCTTTTAATTGTATTTTTCCTGTAATGTAAAATAAATTACTAAACATATTATAAGAATAAATCCATATAAAAATTGTAAAAAAAAAAAAATATAATATTTAAATTACTCTAAATCTTGCAGAATAACATCCAAAAGTTTATTTTTCTCTCATTTTGTAGTGATCTCTTTTATATGCCCCTTCTCTACCACATGGCCAATTACATCTGTACAAATAAATAAATAAATCAAATGTACCAGAGTTATATACTGAATCAATTGCAACATTATTTTGATTACTGAGGATTTCTACATAACCCTTGTGATACAGACGACACAAATATATTAGTGATTATCGGTAAGACAGAACAAACATTTACCAAACTAAGTTATATGAAACAATTGCGTACCAAATAGTAAATATTCATCCACATTCTTCTTTATTGTGTCGTAAGAAACAAACTTGAAGTTGGTTGTCGGAATATATTCGGCTACTAAATTAGTAACTACTCATTCCGACAAAATTGAGCTTAAATCTGTACGTAGATACTCTAAATGGTAAATTTGAATCACCCACCAAGAAATTTTGAAACATATAAGTTTCGCCTTCTTTCACCAATTCCTTAAATTTCATAATGAGATTCTTTTTTATGGTAGCATGAATACGCATATCCTGTTACAAAATCAATAAAAATAGTTAGCTCCTAAATATTGGGAATATAAAACAAAAATAAAAATAAATAAATAGAAAAGAATCCGAAAAAATAAAAACATCACCTTCTCATCCAAAAAAACCATTTCAATGCTACCCGTTTCTGTTTTTCTCCACCTATCTGGCACTAACCATAGACGAATTACCCGTACAATTATCTTTCAATTAATAGTGCTTGTATCAATTTCATGAAGCAATGAAACCTGTGTAGTTGAATTTCGTGGAGCCATAACTGCTTCAATGAATAAAAATCCTTCAATCTTTTAATGAAACAAAAATCAGGAAATTTAAGATTTGGGTGAAATTGGGCAAACGAACTGAGACCGAAGCAAGTGAAAACAGATTAAATAACAGGCTGAGGTATTGGAGCAGCAAATACAGGGAGAGATGGAGAGAGATACAAAGAGAAATATACTTATAAAGAGTGCTTATAAAGAGTTTGTGGGGAAAACCTAAAAGATATCAACGGATCTTCTAAGATATACATATATATTAGATTATTGTTCCCGATAAATCTTTGGGGAAGCGTGTGATAAAAAAATAGAGGAACCGTGTCATTGAAAAGGTGTGGATTTATGCCAATATTTAGGAGATTAATTGAAAGAATAATAGAAATTAATATTTAATTACGTGTTTTAAATATCAGATTATATGAAACTTAATAAAATATGAAAAAATAGTATTAGAAAATTAATTTAGACTTATGCCAATATTTAGGAGATTAGTTAAATGATTAGCGTGTTTAAATATCAGATTATATGAAATTTAATAAAATATGAAAAAATAGTATTAGAAAATTAATTTAGAATTATGCCAATATTTAGGAGATTAGTTAAAGGATTGGTAGAAAATAAAATATAAAAACATAGTATTAGAAAACTAATTTAGACTTGTGCTATTTAACTACGTGTTTAATTATTAGATTATAGGGAAAATTAATTTAGAATTATGCCAATATTTAGGAGATTAGTTAAAGAATTAGTAGAAATTAATATTTAATTACGTGTTTAATTATTAGATTATACGGAATTTAATGATATGAAAAAAATTGGATTAGAAAATTAAATATTTAGGAGATTAGTTAAAGGATTAGTAGAAATTAATATTTAATTATGTGTTTAATTATTAGATTATACGGAAAATTAATTTAGAATTATGCCAATATTTAGGAGATTAGTTAAAGAATTAGTAGAAATTAATATTTAATTAGGTGTTTAATTATTAGAGTATACGAAATTTAATAATATGAAAAAAAAATGGATTAGAAAATTAAATTTAATTCCATTATAAGATATCCTCCAAATGAGCGGGAAAAATTGATCTTAGGGTTTTCTAGGGTTTCTCCAGGAACCTTTCTTTTGTTAATAAGTTTAATTACGTGTTTAATTATTAGATTATACGAAATTTAATAATATGAAAAAAATTGGATTAGAAAATTAAATATTTAGGAGATTAGTTAAAGGATTAGTAGAAATTAATATTTAATTATGTGTTTAATTATTAGATTATACGGAAAATTAATTTAGAATCATGCCAATATTTAGGAGAATAGTTAAAGAATTATTAGAAATTAATATTTAATTAGGTGTTTAATTATTAGATTATACGAAATTTAATAATATGAAAAAAAAAATTGGATTAGAAAATTAAATTTAATTCCATTATACGATATCCTCCAAATGAGCGGGAAAAATTGACCTTAGGGTTTTCTAGGGTTTATCCAGGAACCTTTCTTTTGTTAATAAGATTATACGAAATTTAATAATATGAAAAAAAAAATTGGATTAGAAAATTAAATTTAATTCCATTATAAGATATCCTCCAAATGAGCGGGAAAAATTGACCTTAGGGTTTTCTAGAGTTTATCCAGGAACCTTTCTTTTGTTAATAAGATATGAACACGGCAAAACCAACATAGGATTAGGAGGCCTCGGCCTCTCCAATACTTTTTAAATTTCTATTAATTATGTATAAAAATTAAAAAGAATTGTAGAATAGCATTACAGTCCTCCTCAAGAAATTTTTAATGCATTCGACCTCAAAACTTAAAATTATGACTCGGCTAATGACTGTAAATTTCATATGAATATTTATCCAATTAAACGTGGGCTGTAATTAATTTGGGTTAATCTCAAAAAGGTCCATGACAAGGCCAATTAATTAACAGAGGGACATCCAACTTTTTGTTGTCTTTCAAATTTTTAATGCATTCGTCGTTTATAGCGACACTATGGAGGAGCATGCCAACCACCTTCGCACCGTCTTCCAAGTACTTCGGGAGAACGAGCTATTCGTGAAGAAGGAGAAGTGCGACTTCGCCAAGGAGGAGGTCCAATTCCTGGGCACATTATCGGACACGGGCGACTCCAAATGGATGGAGCGAAGATCAAGGCTATCACCGAGTGGGAACCGCCGACAAAGGTAACCGAGTTACGTTCCTTTCTTGGCTTGATCAATTACTATCGGTGGTTCATAAAGAGGTACTCGGCACGAGCGGCACCACTAACCGACTTGCTCAAGAAGAACAAGGCATGGGAGTGGTCCGACTCATGCCAACGGGCGTTTGAGGACTTAAAAGAAACGGTGAACCAAGAGCCGGTCCTCGCCTTACTGGACGTCGGGAAGTCGTTCGAACTTCACACGAACGCTTCCGACTTTGCCATTGGGCATCTGATCGCCTTTGAGAGTCGAAAGCTCAACGAGACGCAACGACGCTACACGGTCCAAGAGAAAGAAATGACGGCCATCATCCATTGCCTTCGAGTGTGGCGGCATTACTTATTAGGAGCACCGTTCGTGGTCAAGACAGACAACGTATCCACGAGCTACTTTCAAACGCAGAAGAAACTCTCGCCAAAGCAAGCACGATGGCAAGATTTTCTGGCGGAGTTCGACTATGTTTTGGAGTATAAACCGGGAAAGGCAAACGTTGTGGCCGACGCTTTGAGTAGAAAGGCCGAACTCTCATCCATTAGCTCGATAAGGGGGAACTTGGCCGACATGATCCGAGAATGGCTCGAACATGATCCAATGACCAAGGAGCTGATTCGAATCGTCAAGGAGGGCAAGACGAGGCAATTCTGGGTAGAGGACGACCTACTCTACACGAAGGGACACCGACTCTTCGTTCCGAAGTGGGGCAGCTTGAGGAAGGACCTCATAAAGGAATGCCACGACACCAAGTGGGTGGGGCATCCGGGCCAATGGCGAACAGTGGCGTTGCTTGAGACGGCCTACTGTTGACCTCACATGCGGGACAGTGTTGATGTGTATGTGAAGACTTGTCTTGTGTATCAACAAGACAAGGTGGAGAACAAGCAGCCGACAGGGTTACTCGAACCTCTCCCAATCCCCGACCAACCATGGGAGTCGATCTCGATGGACTTCATTAGTGCCTTGCCGACGTCCGAGGGGCGAGGGGTACAGATCTATCATGGTGGTACTAGATCGCTTTTCAAAATACGGGACGTTCATAGCTTGCCCGAGGGATTGCACCGCGGATGAGGCTGTAGACGCAATAAATTAATTAATTGGTTAATTAAATTAACCAATTAAATTGTGTCTAAATTAAATTATACCTTGTCTTGCAAGACAAGTCATGGGGATAATTATTAATTAATTATTGGCCAATAGGATTATTTCTTCTCTTCCAAGTTATAAGAAATAAATATCAGTTTAAAGAGAGCCAATCAAATCGCGCCACGTCATCAAGTAGACTTTAAGTAGGACTCTTATTCTACCACTATAAATAGGGACCCTCCCTACACAATTCAAAACACAACTCAAGAAGGAGAAAAACCGTAGAGAAAATTCTCTCTACAATATTCAAGTCGTTCTTCATCAAATTCACGGCGTTCTTCATCAAATCGAGGGCGTTCTTCAATAAATCAAGATCGAAGGAAGATTGAAGGGCCAAATCCATCAAGAACTCCAAGATCTTCAAGAACAAATCAAGATCGAAGGAAGATTGAAGGTCCAAATCCATCAAGAACTCCAAGATCTTCAAGTCAAAACCCGTCAAAGTTCAGCGTTCGATCCGAGATTCAAGTCGCAAGACCCTTGGAAGACGTTATTCAAGTCCAAATCAAATCCGGAGAAGATCAAGTCAATGACCCGACTCCGAAATTCAAAGTCAAACGCATATTGTTCTTGAGAGAAGAATCAGAGGATTAAATTAGAGTTTGTAACCCGCAATATTTTATTTTAATTCAATAAATTATTTTTGTGCAAGTTTTTCTTGTTTGTCTAAATCGCAGATAAGAATTTGTTGTTACAAATTTTGGCACGCCAATTTTGGCACGCCCGGTGGGACATCTCTACCTCTCATCTCTTCCCTCTCTCGAAGATCCTCGAAGTGTTACAGTGACTGCTCTACGTTCACAATGAAGATTGCTACTTCGGATTCATCAAGTGTGGGCTTAGGTACAAGGAGTATGGCTAAGAAGTTGCAACCATCCTCCGAGACTAACTCGACGCCTCAACCATTCAGAAAGGCTTACCACCTCTTGTCAACACAAGCGCAAACGTGGAAGGTTCAAAACGAGAGATTTCACAGCCCACGCCTCGTTCAACATCAAGCTACTCAGAGGTGGCATCCGTCATAACAACAAACGCTACAACCATGGAGGAGCAAATTGCAAGTTTGACAAAGGCCATTGAGCGACTCGCAAAGCATGTTCAAAAACGAGATTCTCAAATTGTCGAGTTGATCAACAAGATGGACAAAGCCGATGCTAATCAAGCTGTGGAGAATCAGATAGAGGTTCAAGACGAAGTCGAGACATCCACAAGGCAACAACCAGTTGAAAACGAGAAGGCTCCAGCTCAGGAACTTCAAGTTTCTTCAGAAGGGATGATTCATGTAGATCAAGTGATGACGCTGATCAGTGGAACCATCAAAGACAAGTTGGAAGGAAGCTCGAAGTCTCCATCAACCTATGTCAAGCCATACACGCAAAGGATTGATGAACTAAGGATGCCAATGGGCTATATACCTCCAAAGTTTCAACAATTTGACGGCAAAGGCAACCCCAAGCAACATGTGGCACACTTCGTCGAGACAATTGCAATGATGCCGGGACGTACG